TGAGACACAACCTCTCTAAATCTCACTATATCCTTCATAAAACTCTCATTATAAGCCGTGATGGAAATTCTAGAGAGCAAAGATTCATGCAGTCATGGCTATTAAGCAATGTGAAATGCAACCAAATGGTTTTGTGGCAATGTTTTCAAACACAAATGGAAATAGGAGACGTCCCTTATGTTGTCCAAATTTGGGGGAAAACCCCCCTCGAGGGTTTTTAACTCCGGCTCAGCCCCCACAATCTCCGTTCTAGAGCCCTCACCCCTCCCATCCCACGTTTATTCCTCTGCTTCTTTGAACCTGCCAACCACAGTCACAGAACCTCATTAATCATTGAGGATGGGCTTCCACTCTTGGGCAGTGCCCAGTCTGCCCAGGCCTCATCCATGAAGTGCCAGTGCCACAGGCGGGTGAAGCCCATCTTGTGCTCCAGTCTTGGCACTGAGCTCAGGCGCTGCTTGGCATGGATGCCCACACTTCACAAGCCAACCTCGTCCACCCTGCATTCCTCTACTCCCTGTGCTTGTATGTGTGTGTGTGTGTGTGTGTGTGTGTGTGTGTGTGTGTGTGTGTGTGTGTGTGTGGTGCAGAGCTCCACTATCTCCACTGCTTGATGACCTGCCTCTCATAAATAAACTTCCTCTCCAGTTTATGTTCAACATCTCTGTCCGTTTAGTGACACCCTTTATAAATTACACACCCTTCCTATCTTCTTATTGAGCCGCTCTCATCCATCCTAATCCCTCTTACTTTATCCATCCATCTATTGTTCTTCCACTTTTGGTTTCAGCTTTTCTCGCTCTCATTTGGACCTGCGCAAAAACAAACACTAATCCAACTCCTGTATTATCAGAAGTGCAGTCCTAAAAGCTGAGGTACTTCTTAATCTTCCGGGCCTTTCTGTTGCCAGTTCCTAGGAGTGGGCAGCTGTTGCTTGCACAGCACCTTTACACCCTCTCTCCTCTGTGACTTCTGGCCTGGTGCCCTGTTTCTATCTAATCCAGAGCTATGCTGCTTTGCCTTCACAAAGCCTATGATACCAAAAAAATGGTTATAAAATGGTTGTAGGCAATGTGGTCCAGTAAAACAAGGGGGAGGGAAAATGGTTATTTCTTTTCCAATAAAGATGGTCAAGGGGAATAAATTTTGCGTGGCACAATTCCCCTGTCAAATTGGTCCCTGGCAGTCCACAACTACAGACGGTAACTGTCAGAGGCAATGAAAGTACCTCACTGCTGTCTGGTCTATGAATCATGTCAGTTTTTTCTTTGTTCTGGCCTTTCATGCTTCAATCACATTGTGCCAATCTGTAGTGTTTCATATTCCCACTGCATACTTACAGCAGGCCATTGTACGGTGTCCCTGAGAGCTCAATGCATTGCAAATTAAGTAAACTCACAGGAATAAAGAAATAATCTCAAATCAAAAAGAAATACTCACAACACAAGCACATACAGAAAGGCGCTGCAAGTAGCCCAGATGACAAAGGAAGTGTTTCCAGGGGACACAAAAAAAGTGATGAACCCGGCTGAGACACACTTTTTATTCAAGACTTTTAACTTCGAAAGTCACAAAACACTGAACAAGTGTGTACCAGCCGGGTTCATCAATTTTTTGTACCCCCTGGAAACACTTGCACTGTCGTCTGTGCTACTTGCAGCACATTTCAACCAGCTGTACAAATAGAAAATTTGTGAGTATTTGCACCACCGTACCGTACCGAAACCTCCAACATGTCATCAAGGTTAAGCTTCCCATGCCAGGCTTGTATGCAGGCATGAATGGAGCCGTGCATCTATCCAGCCTATTGGACGTCCACAACTAACCCAGACAAATCTGATCTATACTGACCTTGAATTAGACAGCTAGAAAAGAAAGCTTGTGGTACAGCGTAACGAGATTCTCTGACATATGGAATACAGACTACATAAATCTTCAGCATAAATTGGGGAGCAATAAGAAATCAAAGTTAACACAATACTGCATGTCTGATGGAATTTTTGTATCATCTACCACATTGGGTCTTCTGTTGCTGACTTTTGTTTCCAACACCTGCTTCTCTTGCATTTCACTTGTCCATTTCAGCTCCCTGTCTCCGCCATGAATGATTCATACTACTGGTTTTTTCTGCAACCCTCCACAGTGAGGGGTAGAAAATTGGATATGCCCTAATTCACATACATGCGCACACTCTCACACGCAAGCAAATCTAATTCTTGAGAGTTCCAGCACACAGCCAAGGTAACAAATATTACTCACACCCTGACACTTTCATCTTTCTGTAAAACAAAAACCGGCAAAGCAATCTTTTGTGCTGTTTAAACTTCCTCATCCACTCTGCCAGTGGTTGAGTCAACTTTGTAGCCATAAGACCTGCTTGGAATGCAGACAGCAAAACTGTTGAGAGTTGAAAATGCAATGGATTAATGCCGAGGAGTGATCTCATGGACACACAAAATCTTCCCTCTTTTATGCTTGGTTAAGTAGTTTCATAATACTGGCCTTCTGAAATTACTTTCTATTATTGGTGAGCGATATGACAACCAATCTGCGAAACGCTCATTGTCTCAGATATTGGCTCCAGTGCAGCAGTGGGAGAGAGTGTCACCCCTGGTTACAGATTAACCGTGGCTACATCAATCCCCTGTTGTTCACAGGTCTGGAAGATTAGTCACAGTGGTGAACGTGGCTGCCCAGGTCGATGTCTCCATTCAACGAGTCGCATATACAGTAAGGCCTCGTTCAGACGAAGCCAGGCATGTCACAAGAGGGGGGAAAAGAGAGATGAATAATGACACACTGCAATGAAAAAGTAGACAGGGAAGGAGTGTGGTTTTCCCTGAGCCTGTGACTCTCAAAGTTCAGTTTAGTTCAGAACTTGTCCCACAAGACGGAAATTGCGGCCAGGCAGCATGGAAACTATAAAAACACAATAAAACAATTGGGGGTATAAAAAAAATGTGGGAATACTGTACCGATAACACAATAAAATAAAGAGTCTATGTGATATGAAGCTGTAACACCAACTACTACAACCATATTTCATTGCTTCCTTACCCCACCACAATGCTTGGACTTGCATCCCTCCATTAAAATGCATGTTAGTACAAGATTAGAAACTGCCTTTCTGTGTGAATGGACCCTTGAGGCTAATTTTACGATCTGCAGTCTAAAGGCTGCTGCAATCAGTGACAAACTCACCATGGGGCAATCACTCATTAAATATCTCTCTCCTCTTTTCCTGCATTCAGATGTGTGTGTGTGTGTGTGTGTGTGTGTGTGTGTGTGTGTGTGTGTGTGTGTGTGTGTGTGTGTGTGTGTGTGTGCGTGTGTCTATCTGCCTGTAGATCTGTGTTTGTGTGTTTATCTGCGGAGACTCACAGGTCGAAAGTCTGCGCATTAATAATTAACTTTCGGAGGGTTTCTGAACCCGCGCCTTTAATACACACACAGTTGTGTCACAGTGAGCAGGTAAGGGGCAGAGCAGATCCATTATTCATCTCGGTGACTGGTTCACAGGCTCGGGGGTTTCAGGACCAGTCTCCCAGGGCTGGATGTGGGACAGAGGGCAGAGGAGAGAGAGCTCTTACTTAGCCAACACGTTTCCGAGGAAGTTCTGTTCTTTTTTGGGAACAAAATCCCCCCTTGGGGATAAATTATCTTCAGTTCTTTCACATTTACGGTGACAGTTTGATGACATGGGCAATGTGTTGACTTCACCTGATGACCTCATGGTGCACAGCTCAGCAAAATCACAAGAGAACTAACACTAAGGGCATCATGGGGGATTCACCCTAGGTTGAGGCCATGTCCCCAGGGAGGACTGCAACGATGTACTGTACTGATAACTTCATATTATGTTTTTTTTGGCTGCTCTTCATTCTTAGGAAAATAGTTTTACCACTTATGGACTTCCTGATTCATCTTTATAATATCTATCTTGTCTCTAAGAGTGCTGTCAGCTGAACTGACTGCTGGTGTGGTCCAAAACAAACAGAAAGTTGAATGTGGTGTGGCATGTTTGTGGACAGCAAAACAGACCAACCACAGGATTTCATGACGTAGTGCGTGTGGTTTTAGCACCAATTCAAAGGCTGAAATAATGTTAAACCTATCTGAGATCTGTATAAAGAGCGTATACAGCCTGTCATTTGGTAACCATGGTAACATGTATGTGCATCACCATGCGAGTGCGAGGGTTTTACTGATGAATCAGAAGGTGAAAAGGACTTTAAAAAAAATAGTGGTGTGTTTATGTCTTAATCTGTGTATTTTGGCAGCTCTTCATTAAAAGGTAAGAGGAAAATAGTGATCAAAAAGTAACTGTCCTCCCATATTACTGTGGCAAGACGATTTTTTTTTTGTCCCGTTTCTTCCTATTCTTCAGTATTCATAACATCAAGGTCAAGGTCAAGTTGCAGTCTCGACTAAAAACGCTCATAATGCTCATTTATGTCTTGGTGAGACATAAATATAAACACATAAAAGACAGGTGCTGCATGATTTGATTTCCACTTGTGGGTCCATGTAGTGGTGACGATGATGATGCAGGATGACATCAACACTGTCCGGTAAATAAGTTAGCTGTAAGTCTTGATGACTTCATGTTTACGGCTCTTGGTTCATTGGCAAAAGCCAATGTTTCATTTTTTTTTTCCTTGTTCAAGACCACATGAACTGAAATCCAGATGTGTGAGCCACCTAAAATCCCATCACTAACACTAACTGAAAAAAACAAAGAAATCACAACATGAAGAACTGGGATTCACCAAAATAGATTACATCATATTATAGATATAATTATCAAAGAAACAGTAAGAAAAAATCTGGCTAAGCACATCCAGCCCTAAGTGCAATATGGGGAAAGTTATTCCAGCTAGATATTTACATGACATATTTTCAGACAGTAATTCACACCAACTCCAACTTTTTTTTTTTTTTAATGGTCTCTACACTCCCATTTACAGTGTTGTGTACAATGTGTTGAGTTTGTGACATACCATCATAGGTGCCACTCTCCAGCAGCAGTCCACTTTCTTCCAGCTCGCGGAACTCCCCCACACTGATGAAATTGTAGTCCACACCAGGAACTTCCCCCTCTCTGGGCTGCCGAGTGGTACCTGCCAACAATGACACAGTTTAAGACGGAGGGAACATCCAGACAAGTGGAACATGCTATTCGCTGATAGTGGGGGGGATTTGTAAGTGACACTGTTTCCAACATGCCCACAGAGATGTGATTCAAGTCCAAATACGGCACTCAGGGGAGAATCTGTATCTACATCATGAATAGTCAACAGAGCTGAGACCACAATGCTGCGAATTCATTATTCAAATATGAAACCGAGAAAAAAAATATCCTGCTCGCAGCAGCACAGCTGTCAGAATACAGAGGAAGTGTAACTGATGATAATGATAATGAACAGGATTTTAATTGCACACTCAGTGTACAACCACACCACTTTTATTCCTTAAGGACGCAATTAAACACAATATCAGTGCAATAAACAAAGTAAAAGGAATTGGAAAAGAGGTTAGGTGTGCACTAAGTATGAATGGATGAAATCTAACTTCACTGTTGACCTTCTGCACATTTGTTTAATAACACTTTTTACATCTGCCAAGTTATTCCCCCTCAGAATCTCACACACAGCTTTGTTTCCATGGCAATATAATGGGCTATAACTATTAAAGATAAATGTATAGTGGTGACTTGTTTGCATAATGCTGCTTAACTAAAGATACCGTCTATGCCTTTTCTTGGACATTTGCAAGAAAAACAAAACAATGAATTTGTGCACTCCTAGAATTAACTTTTGCCCCCAGAGCAACATCAGCGTCAAAGTCCTTTCCAATAATATTACAGATCACAGCCTAAACACTTGTTTCCAGTATTGGGAAAGATTTGTTCAGGTTCATAAAAACAGCCTAAACTCTCCAAGGTCGTGGGAGTAAAAATCAGTGACGTGTTTTACAGCGTATTGTCTCCTTCATGCCAGTGGTTTTGGTCAAGGCCGATCACTCTGTGTCTGATGATGATCTCAAAGGAGCAGTTGCAAAACAAGCTAAAGGGTTCCAACTTCTTTATTTTCCCCTCTTTTCTACTGTGGCCCTGAGACCTCAACGCACTGCAACCTAAGAAAACACATGCAAATTGACAAAACACAGGTAAATTCAGAAAACATGCAAATACTGCAAATACTCACAACACAAGCAAATACAGAGACATGTTGCAAGTAGCACAAATGACAATGGAAATGTTTCTAGGGGAAACAAAAAATTGATGAACCAGGTTGGGACACCCTTCTTGTTCAATGCTTTGTGACTTTTGAAGTTAAGGCACTGAACAGCACTGACGTGCTCCCAGTCGGGTTCACCGCTTTTTTTGTGTCCCCTGTGAACACGTCCATTTTCGTTTGTGCTCGTTTCTGTATTTTGTTGTGTTGTGCGTATTTGCAGCGCATGTGTTGTCAAATTGAGGAAGACATTTATTAAATTTGCTTGTGTCTTCTTTTTTCTTTTTTTCTTTTAACTTCTTATAACTTCTTTTCCACCCTAAAACTCGCAGCTGTTCCAAGAGTCGCAGCTTTACACTGCATTTCTAGTTCTTGCAAAGTTACAGCCATTAAATAATAATCTGCCATAACTGCTGCAACTAGTTAAAAAAAGTGTCATGTTTTGCCTTGTTGATGCTCTCATCTGCGAGACATTAAAAACAGATTGTTATGAAAATGATTTCACGTTCCCCAACACGTCGACTCTGCTTAGCGTCATCTTAGATGTAATCAGAGCTTGTACAGTACCTCAGCTGAACTGCTCTGCGATCTGGTTGTGCTGCAGGCGCAGGGGTAGATTTCAAACTCAGAGTTTAATAGGGAACCCATCCCCATTCTTCATTTTCTTTCTGTGTAAACATCCACCCCGAATGCAGGACGAGCCATCACATATGAAAACAGCTTAGTCCATTGCAAAGGCCATTTTTTATTCTGTCAAATGGAGCAATCAGGAGATCGGTGAAGACACAAAGGGGGGAAATATGAGCTTGTTCTTGGAAAAAGTACCAGGGAAATGTGGTTATTTGGCCTTTAATAGTTAATTCCAGTACCTCACGTGAGGATTTTCTCAGACAAAGCTTGATCAGTTTTCCCACCTTGACAGTTTTAATTCTCATCACACCATCATGTGCCTTTGTAAATGTTATTTCATCATCTCATGTCTCAAGTGTTGCTGTAAAATGCAAGAGGTGACAGACAAAGAGGTCACAGCTTAAAGGAAAGGAGGAAACAAAGACTGTTGATCTGTCCTGATGTGTCACAAAGCAAAGCATCTCTTCAGTCTCCACACCTGGACAGCTGTGAGGGGGGTGGGGGTTTACACCGCAGCTATGGATGGACAGTGGCGACAGAGACTGCTAAGACTGTTGAAATTAGAAATCGAATTGTTATCAGAGAAGGAGTGCTGGGATAAGGAGCTTTGAAGAAAAGACGAGGAAATTTGCTGCCAATTCTCACTGGAGAAAGAACACACTGTCTTTGTGTGTGGTTCCTCACAAGCTTGTCTTTGAAGAGATGAAACAACCACATGAAAACGATATAAGACAAAAGCTTCACAACAAAGAAAACGAAAAACAAACAGTACCAGTAGCTACCAGGTCTATGGAGTGTTTTGTGGCTTCACAACAAAATCTAGCGCTCTGGTGGTAGGTGTTAGCTATAATGTGCCTTTCCCTCCTAGCAGGTTGAGCACCCACTCATTGGATCACCGGAAACCAAGAGACGAACATATACCAACAAAGCTCCCAGATACTGACTGCAGCCGAACAATTTAAAAGAAAATAGAAAAAGAGGGAAAAACAATTGTAAAATTATACTGACAGATACCAAATCTGATAGCTCCAACTTTAAATTTCTAGAACAAGAGGTAGTGTGAGCCTGATGAATACACAATAAATCAGAGCACTGCCTTGAAGGGAAGCAACAACATTGACCTTCACTATCACTAGCTGTAGTAAACACAAGTCAAAGTCAAGTCTACTATAAAACTCTCAACGATGGGAACACGTTTATGAAGATGGGGTGACGTTACCACATCTAATGCACGTACTGAGCAAGAAAAATACTTTGACACCCGTCTGTCTGAACGCCGTGTCCCCTTCCCTGTTTCATCTTAATTTCATCAGTGTCTTACAAATGCCCACGCCCTCACCCTCGCTGACTGACAGTTCCCTCAATGCCTCACATTCAGGCAAACCATAGACACTAGCTACAGCAAGCATCATCAGGAACCCCACAGAGGGGTTTTAGGAACAACAGCGGTGCACTGCGTGTTGTCCTCATGGAAGGTTTAAAGGGGTTTATAGTTGTCATTGCAAAATGTGCCAATATGAGGGGCCATCAGGGGCACCTTTTTTCTCCTTGGGGGCACCAAGCATTTTTCCTGGTTTGCCTCTTCCGATGGTGCGACTGCTGACTTGTTAAGTCTGGGAGTCCTCCCTGCCCCCTAGTAAATTGGTCCCTGTGTCTCACACTGTAAAGTCTGTGACTGCAAATATCTTGTTCTCGTTTCTTTTGATCCCAACTGTAATTGCACCCTGCCAGATCACAGTGGCTTTACCCACTGATCACAACTATATTTACATACAGTTGACCACCGCTCCTTTGACAGACTTTGGCAGAGTCTGTTACCTCAGATCTGTTCTGTGTCAGTGGGCTCACCTTGTTTTGGAATACTAATAAATTCACACCTCCTCAGCAAACTTTAAACTAAGGACTTGAGTTATTTTCTTCAACAATATCAGATTGAACAATGTTGTTTGGTGCATAATTATGGCTACTACCTCACTTTCTGTTACAATATATAGCTGGAGATTTCTGTGGTGACGCACAGGTATGATCAGCGTATCAGTGTGCTGATGCATGTTATCATCTTGTTAATATTATTTACATTGGTCAATAACTAAACCAGCTGATTTGCTTAGTCAGTCTGGAAGCTGATTACCTAACATGATTTTACCCGACGATGCAATATATAATTTTAGTAATAATGTCATTTTCAATTATGAGTTTGTTCCACAATAATAATCCCCTTTCCTGAAAAATAGGACTGATGTTGTTTATAATGGATTCATTAAATCTCATACAGATGAATGAAATGTGTATTTATTTTGAAGAAAAACATGTTGTATTAATATATTATATATTAGAAAAACACAAATGATGATCATGACTGTCATGACAGTAACATGACTGAGCAGCTGATTCTGCACTGTGCTAGTTTAGAAGACTGCTGAAGACAAAAGTCTCTCATTTTCTTCCACCTCTGACAGTCCTTTCCACCATATGTGATATTGTAAAACTGGTCCGATGTTATTCTAAACATGTCAACCCATTCCTATTTATGGTGTAAACAGGAAGTTCAAAGACAAAACAATGGAATCCAAGTACTTCCTGTATAAGGTCAGTATCACAGTCATCCAAAAAATATGAGTAATTTGAATCATGACAGTATGGCAAATGCTGCATTGCTACTATTTCAATACTGCAGGATCTTACTCGTGCATTAATCCTAAATGAGAATAAACGCTCAAAGAATGATACTTGTGCTTATTTCTTCTGCAACATGGAGAGATTACAGTACATCACAATGCACATGAAGGGGCATGATGTTTGTGGCCATGTGACAATAGGAAATAAAAATTGCTGGGATTTACTATGTTTGACCTTGTAACGGCTCTCTGGTCTGTATTTATGAAATGTATAAGGCACTGTGGATAAATGCAGTCTTTATATGAAATACATAAAACAAAATTTCATCTGATGTTGTAGGCCGTTTTCCCAATTTACTTTTAAGTTCTTATTTGTCTGTCAATGCAAAGCTGCAGTCTGTCTTTTGTCTCAGTGGCTTAAAAACTTAAAAGGAGCCATCTTCAATCTTCTCAAAAAAGAGATTGAAAACCTGGGGCATTTTTTCTTTTACATTTCCACTATATTTCCTCATTTTTTTATCTTGCAATGAGACTCATGGAGCTGATTGCTGTGCCGTGACGGATATTAATGCCCGGGGAAGGAGAAAGGTAGTTGGCAGCGAGGTTGAAGAAGGAGGCGGGTGGGGTGGGGTGGGGTGGTGGTGGTTGGGATTTAGCCAAGCTTCAAGGATTTCGTGGTGCCCCGGACCCCTGGCACTGTCTTGAGCTCCTGTCATCTTTTTGTGGGCAGCGGGAGTGACACTTAATGAAGCCTCGCTGTGTGTGTGTGCGCGCGCATGGTGGAAGTAGGAAGTCATGCTTCTCTCACTGAGATGCCACTCGGGCTGCTGTAATGAGCACGGGCGTCATGCTGTAGCGGCTATTTAGGCTCCTCGCAGGGTCACTGCTACTCAGTGTGCTGTGATAAGCCACTGGCACGGGTTTGCATGAGCAGAGTGGACAGGGGACATATGCTGAGCTACTGAAGCCAGACTGCAATGTCTCGCATGGGATATGCATGGCACCAGATTTCATATTCTTCCATGATGACTTGCTTTACTGCACTCAAATGTGAAGAACTTGGTAACATGATGTGCACTGTTATGCTTTAAAGGTCCCATATTTTATGGTGTTTTGTTGAAGTGTTGATCCATAAGGAGATATATTTGTGGTTTTAAGCACCAAAAACCATCTCAATGTAGTTTGTACATCTCCTCTCTCAGGCTTCTCTCTGGAGCTCTAGCAACAATAGGTTGGTGAGCCAATCAGAAGAGAATCTCTGAGCCCCCCTCTGATTGGCTGACTGTTTTCTGAGTGATTGAATCAAAGTATAGCAGATTTCAGGTAAGCAATTAGAGAAAAAAAATCCTACAAGGTTGGACAGTGGGTCCAGGTGGGCTGGGCTTTGGGCTTGGGGCATGGCTGAGAGCAGTGACTGCTTTGTTGTGACATCATAAAGTTACAGAAGTCCCGAGGCTCATTTTAAGGCTCAGTTTCTGAATACAGGCTGTGTGCATTTCTATGTGGACTGAGTGCTTTGATACTTTCACAGTATAAATATAGAACCTAGACCTACCTAATTATATTATATATAATTAAGTAGGTCTAGGTTCTTACTTAATTACTTAATTAGTACTGCTTAATTATATTATATATAATTAAGTTATATATATTAAAATATTACTTATATTATAATTAAAAATGACATGGAAATCTCACTTTACACAACATGGGACCTTTAACAACTGCAATCATCTTTGGGATAATGGGCGGAAATTGAGCACAATAACTGATATGTTACTGGTTTTAACTCTTAATACATACTCTTTAATGTAACTAAACAGCTATGGATAAATGAGGCCTCATGTAGTGTTTTATAGTTTGAACCCTTTTAGACATTTCAATAACAGAAGATGGACAGTTTCTTTCAGCAAGGTGAGAAACTATGAAGTCCTGATCTCCAGTGAATCATTACTGCTTTATTTACATTAAATTTCCAACTTTAAAATATGTCTTTAAAAAGACTTTCCCTCCATGTAAAATGTCAGAAACAAGAGCTTCCAAAGTACTGACTGAGATTTAGATTAAAAACGATGTCTTGGGCAGTGGTAAATGGAAAGAAGAAAAAAACCTCAGCTGTGCAGCCCAGAGAATTGCAGCTGCTCTTTCATTTACGCCTGTTGGCCTTGATGTTCATTTTAAAATCATTGGGGTATAAAAACAAAATTGTTTTGTCCTGGTTATTTATTCTTCTACTTTAAAAGAAACTGTGGAGACAATTTATAAAGAAAAAAAAAAGTCAGGTGTAGAAAGTAAAAAGAGAATAAAAACACACCTTTAATTGTACAATAACGGAGGTCTGACTAATCAGACACTGAAAAATAAATGTCTCTTCCTAATTCAATACTTCATATATTCAGTCTCAAAACTTATTTCCGTTAAATTAAACATAAAACCCGAGAAACTGTGTAATTCCCCTCAATTCCAATACAGTTTCTTTCGTACAAGCCCTGGAGTCTTAAAGCATATTTTACTCATGGTAGATAATGTTAGCCTTCCATATCAAAGTCTGCTCAGGTTTTCCTAGTACATCACAGAGATACATTAAGCATAAGAATGGGTGCTTTTACTAATTATGTTGAGATTATGAAGTGAATAGCAAAGTGTACATTAATCAGAAATACACATTATCTGGTGAACTGAGGAGCAAAGGAGGGAATTGAGAGGAAAATAAGTTAAAGGGGGATTTTTTAAAAAAAAAAGGAAGGCTTAGGAAATGCCGGCAAGTAGCATGGTGCAAGTAATTCTGCAGATGAGAACAGACCGGGCTCCATCTGGAGGGGTCAGAGGACAGCGAGCAGAGCCCAGACAGAAAGAGAGGAGACTGAGGTGCCAAAGGCTGTGGACGTTTACTCACAGGGAATGGTGCGCAGGTACAGGTTGTCCCTGATCACCTGCTGGAGCTTGTGGTCCAGGGAGCCCTTCTGAAACTGCAGACTGAGGTAGTGACGCAAATCAGTATTCAACACCTTACCTAGAGGAAAGGAGAGAGAAATCTGGGTCAGTCCAACAATTAAACCACGTAGGAAGGCATCTTCATGGCGCTCACTTACAAAACGCCCACTCTGACGTTCCAATTCTGAGACAATTAAAAGACATTCTCAAATTTAAATTCATAAACAACCTACGCCACACTCGACTGACCGACAACAAGCCCCAAATCAAAAGACTGTTTGTTTGCACAGCAATTGCTTGTACCTGTGAAAGCTAGGTGCTAAGTGGCAAAAGACGGGATATTGAAGCTGTCAGATTTAATGAAACATTAATTTGGCTCCTTCATTAAAATCCAGATGTACGCATGACAAAGAGGAACACAAAATTAGGACAGTTGCTTCTCGGGGGAACAACAGCAGTTCAGGCGAACTCTGAGGAAAGTGTAGGGGCTAGACTGTCATCTTAAAGAGGAGGGAAATTTACTATTCTCCTTGGAGCGACAGAATGACAGAGGAAAGAGATAAAGAGAGGAGGAAGAAACAGAGAGAACTCCCTTGTGTTTTCTTTAGTAGCACTCTTCCTCTGTGTGAACTCCAGCTGTGAGCGTCTCGGGAAGGGACACGCTGGATGAGCTTCGAATATGACGCCAGTTACACTTAAGGCATCAGTGACCAGAGCTTCCTCCTCAGAGCTGCTCAGCAGGAGGTACACAATTAACGTTATAGAGTCAGAGATATTGAGCACAGAGGTCCACTATCTACATAAAACATCACATTGGACTATGTCTGAAAGCTCAGCACAGTCTCGACTCGACAGAGACTAAAAATGTGGTATTGTTTGCCGTCAACATCTGCCACCGTGTTCAAAATCCCGTCCCCGCTTCTCCAGATTAGAAAAAATGTTGACATATCAAAAAATCAAGCAGAAGCCAGGCTGTGAGTAATGTCAAACTCCAGTTGAGATCTGTGTTAAGCTACTGCGAGGAACATCAGTCAGTAAGATAATACACCTCTCCCAGCGGGACACCTACAGAGACTGTAAATATATGATTTTTTTTCCCCCATCGTGAGACTAATTTTGCAAGCTGTTGGCTAATCTGCTGATGAATATTTGATCATACCAAACAGTTTAGAGCCTGTGTGCCAGGCGCTTCTAATTTCTGATCAACTGCACACTAAAAAAGTCACTGTGGAGCTGCTTTGATTTCCGTATGAAATATTTTTTCAACTCCGTTCGAATCTGTTCACCAATGTAAACACTCTCACACACACAAAAGATTCCCTCTTTCAAACGAGCGGCAAGGTTCAAACTAGTTGAAATTGGCAGACAAAAAGTGAATAAGAAATAATCGTACTGCATAGTAACAAAGAGAAACATTCTGACGGTTAAAGTAATGAAAAATTAGTAAAGTGAAAAAGTGTGGAGCATCCTACGCATCCCACGCTCTACAAGAGTTCTATGCCGAAACTTGAACACTTTCTTTTTTCTTTCTTTTTTTTTTTTTGTCATGACACCCATTTTCAGCAGGAAGTATTGAATGATAAACTTGGCTGCTTGGCAATGAAAAGCTATTGCCTACCTAATTCAAAAATATTGTAAATTAAATGAGGTTCTCTTATTCAGCCCCTGGGGGGATAAAACATCTACCGCTGGGACTGTAGATCAGCGGCGTTATGTCGGCGGGTTAAGGGGGTTGATTCTTCCCTCCTTAACATCCATCAAAAAGTGGTGGTGAAAAGAGTTCTGATTAAGGCAATTGGAGTTTCTTGCTTACTGGGTGTTCAACGCTTCTCAATACTTTGTGCTTTTGCTCTGCAGGCGCACACATGAGCTAATAATTCAAGTGATTTTGGAATTTCTGCATTGCTCTGCATTTGCCTGCCGCTTTACTTTTTGTCGAAACAGTCCAGTAACTGCAGCATGGCAGAGGTACAAGTGAGGGGCCGGGGCCAAGAGAAGCATAGCTCTGCATTATGTAACTTTTTACTGGCACAATGAATGTGAGGAATTTATGTCAAGGGATACAAAAGCTGGTTCTGGCGACGCATCACAACTTGAAAGCCACAAGCCTGCGGTCCACGTTCCCAGAAGCCGTGAGACATTTCTTTTTTCTTTCAGCACACACACACACACACACCCACACACACACACACACACACACACACACAAACAATATACATCCTGTTCCTTCCCACCATTTCAGGATTGTTCCCATGTTGAAAGGGACGGGAGTGATTCTGCTACTATACTTCATGCTTGGGAATGCCACCCTGGATCCCATTTTTCACACACTGCCTTAAAAGATCAGCTGGTTTCAGTATGGACAATGAGGGGTACTAATTGTTACCACAGGATTCCCAGGATTCCTGCAGGGAAGGGTAGATACTCCACTGGGTCAACAAAATCAATCTCTCTCTCTCTCTGTCACACACACACACACACACACACATGCACACACACACACAAACACAAACACATGCAAATCACCTCCCCTGCCCATAGCAAACTCCCACTCAAGTGCTTCCAACAGGGTAGCCTTTGTGGCCCGCCTGTCAGGTTGCGTTAGCGTGCTACATCATATCTCCAGAGACGGAGAGCAAAAGAGAGAAAAGGAGGGAGCGGCAACTCTCAGCTTCCCGCTAGGATACAAGGCAGCACATCACTGGCCTGCCAGGCTGGTAGTACGAGGCATGTGGGACACAATGGAAGCCTTTGTGCCTTGTCATCTGGCTATTAGACACTCTCTCATACAGGGGGGGAGTTAATGGGGAGGGGGTGATGGGGGGGGGGCGCTACAGTTCAAGGATGGAGAATCATTAAAAACAGAGGGAGCGAAGGGAAGGCAGTGCGTTGGGATTGGGGTGGAGGGCAGGGGGTGGAGGGGGTGTTGGTGGTGGTGGTGGTGGGGTGTTTGCAGAATGGAGTAATGATGATGCATGGGAACGCACGTCGAAACTAACACCGCCTCTCTCCGCCTGCCCTTTCATCATTATTCTATCGCTCCATCTCTGACTGTGCCACCCGACTCTTTGCCTCCCGCGCTGTGGAGATTCATCAGCCCTGGCAGATCCCCACAGGGCTACTCACACCTATGTTGTTTGAGATCACTGTCTGAATAGCTATCTACCTTCCCTGCAACACCCCCCCCCCCCCCCCCTTTTTTTTTCTTTATTCCACTGCTCGCCACTTAACCTTTTGTTTTCTCTCATATCACAAGCCTCTGCTTTCAAGTGATGTGTGCAGCAACCTGTCACTGACTCCGCTGCAGCCCTTATCTGCCCGTCTTCTGCCTCTAAGATCAGTGTAGATAAAGGCAAATAAAAACCAAACCCTCGCTCTGTCTAAATCTGCTATTAGTTTTCAGTCTCACACATATGGAGGAGGAGAGGCCTTACTTAGATCAATAATGAAAGACCTTCAGAATAAAAAAAAAAAAAAAAACATACTGTATGGCTGTAACAAAACCCCCACTTTCTTTCTATCTCACGCTCTATCACACACACACATACACAGAAATGAAAGCAAAGCACATGCTACTGCCCATCATCCTTTCCCCATTCCCCTTGGACACTTACATTTTGGTATTTGCCATGGGAAACTAACCATCTGTCATTTTTCAGTCACTGATGTCAAAAACTATTGAAGTGCTTTGCAGGAACTCTTTCATTGAGAACCAAGTTGCTTGTGCGCCAGAAGACCAGACAAGAGCTTCAGTTCTGCTACTGCTATAAAATAGGCTCAGCAGCATGGAGCACCATTTTTGACCCAACTTTTCTGCTGAGAGGTATATGATGAAAGTCTACAAAGCCTTTAAAATGTCCAGTTATTTGGCTTATATGTGAGCTTTGGATTTTTGTTTGGCCAAACTGCAGCAAAATTGGATAGAAATAAGTCAAAATGGTGTACGTTACTACAATGAGGGGGGCATCGATACATGTACAGGATTTCATGGAAATCCATCCAATAGTTAATGAGGCATTTCACTCAAACAGAGAAATGAGAACCTAAAGGTAGCACTAGGGAAAATTCAGGGAATCACCACAGCTAGTCGGCTTCATCTTCTGGAGACCATGAATATCTGTCAGGTTTCCATCCAATAGTCGCAGAATTTGTACATACATATCTATATATATATATATATATATATATATTTATACTTTATTCCGACAGTACACTGAGAGATAGACAGGAAATTCAGGGAGAGAGAGAGGCGACAGCATGCAGCAAAGGGCCGCGGTTAGGATTAGGCCTTAATGGTACCCGCTCTACCAGGTGAGCCAGTGATGCGCCCCCCCCCCCCCCCCCCTCCCCCCCCCCCCCCCCCCCCCCGGTTGCAGAGTTTTAAGTTGTGACCAAAGTGGTAGAAAGACTGACCGACTGACCGTCCAACATTGCCATCTATAGATCCAAGCCCCTAATCATGCTGATGAACTGCAATTTTGATGAAATTAACAAAATGTAATCCGTCAATGAGAAAAACATTGAAATGCAGAAACACTAAATACTGAATCAGTACTGCGTGAATTTGGCAAAGCAACCATTCCGCCAAAAGCAAAAAAGACCGGCCTTTCCCTAAATCCCCGCAGCTCAGCTCATTTCTTGACACATCAGCATGTCCTCACTTCACCAGGGCCAAAACAATTGACTAGCACTACAGATATTTACCCAGGCAGGCAGCAAACAGGCAGTTAAATAACAATGCTTTTCTTAAATGAGAGTAGAAGCAATGCAGAGCTGTTACCAGCAGGGGTGTCAGTGGGCGTCTAATGAGGCAATTCTCTGACAGTAGCGCAGCTCTGGAGTCAGCTCTGGAAGCCCCCACCATCTGCTAATTACCACCTTGTTAGGTTCATTTGGCAACTCGGGGCAACATAATGTCCTGCCTCATTCTGTGTGACAGGCAGGCAGAGAGAGGGAATCAACAGTTTATTGGCATCTAAGGGACACCCACTTTCTTCACTTTCTCTGTGAAATGGCAAAGAGACAAATAAGATCAACAATTCTGGCATGATTTGCCTGGGATGAGACCAGGCAGCAGAC